CAGCACTCACCACCGACACATCGATGAAAGCCTTTCGCAGACAGGGTGCCTTCTCATTCGACCCATCTGTGGTGACTGAACGGATGCTTGGTGCGTGACTGAACGGATGCTCGCACCAAGCCAGGCAACATCAATCGACTCAAACCTCCCCGCACCACCTCCGATGCCAATGAAATTGATTGCCAGGATGCTACATAACTTGTCTATGGAAGATGACACACCGCTCGGTACGATTAACGAGGATGACAACGATGACACCCCACCGTCACCATCCGAAGCCCAGGCCGCTCGACAAAAAGCAATCATTGACGAGGCTGCAAGGGAACTGGCAAAGACGCGCATGAGTTATCTGCTCGGAACGGATGACCCTACCAACTGCACCTATCCCACAACCTTCCACTCCCATCACCAACGCCCTACGCATCGTCCCGAAGACCGAAACCGAAACCATACTTCTTGAAGCTCTGAAAGAGTCGGACACCATGTTCCGAGCATTGCGGGACCGGGTGGCGGTACTTCAGGCTTCACAGATTCTTAACGACACATACTGCAACAAACTTCGGATTCAGCTGGCGCACAAGGAGAAGAAAAAAGGCAAACAGACCTTGGGAAAACTCATGGGCAACGGGCTACCACGGATGTTGTCGGGAGATGCATTCTATGAGCAAGTTGTACAGTTCACCGAATGGCAGAGAAGCAGAGGCGGTGATGAAGATGGATGCTAGGGCTGCGTGGAAGGCAGCTGTGGCATCGTTGGTTAATGGCCGTCAAATCAGACCTCGGCAGAGGCATGCTGGACATTTCACCTCCTACATACTCAATAAGGCGATATATCGTTTATTTACATACAAGAGTAACATTTTCATACCCTTCGTGTTGGACTACAATAAAAAAATCTCAAGATTTGGTAGCCGTTTGTCGAAGAAAGCGGCAGGAAGAAATTCATGACATAATTTTGTCACGCAAGATGATCAATGACTGTAGTGGAGGGCAAGGACAAGGTACTGGATACGCAAAAGGAGGTACAAAGAGAGGAAGATCAAGATGATCTGGAATTATGTAAGGCGCCGCTCGACTTGGCGCCTTCCCAAGTCTCACGTATGCCTTTGTTTGTCTTTACCTTCTGTTTGTTTATCTTTTCCTTTTCTCTGTTTGCCTATGCCTTCTCCTATGCTGAATTCTTATTCCTTTCTCCTCATCGTACCTAGGTAGTTCTAGATTACATAAGTAGGTAGTCTAGTATATAAAGGGTTCAACCCCCGTTGTAAGTAGCTAGTCTCTTTCAACACGACGCTTTAACCCACTCAAGCCAACGTGTTTGTCTGAGGCTCTGGTGTGCCGCGACTTATCTCGCGTCACATATTTTTGAGTGTCTAGCGTCGACACTACTCTCTCTCTCTCGCGCTTTCTCTCTCTCTCTCTCTCTCTCGCCTCGTCAAGCTCTGGTGCACCCTGGTCTGATCAACCAGGCCTTCCGACTCGATGCAGGCAACCCACCTCAACCCACCTCTCAACCCAACAACGCCAAACACCGTGCTAATTACTGCGCCACTGCTTCGTTGTCAACTACGACCATGCTTCGTTTGCCGCCTCGCCCCTACAACCTTAGAAGACGTCCCACAACAGGAGTCGTGGACACTGGCCCTGTCCCGACGTCACTCCCAGGTACGTACGACCAGAGTGACAACAGTACTGACAATTTTCTCTCTAGCGCGTCAACTTCGACAGCTAGGGAGGCACCTGCAGGTGACCGACCTGCCTCGGGAACCCTGCGGGGTGACTCAGAGGCTCCCCTCTCGACGAACGAGAGGGAGGCTGGACCCGGTCGCGATCGGGTCGATGGGACTTCGGGTGGAGCTGAGGGCTCCCGTGATTTTTCCGCCGGCATTGTAGATACGGATAGGGGTCTTGATAAGAATGGAAGTATTTTTGGTACCACACGTTCGGATTATGAGGCGAAGACGCCCGTGAGGGGGCGTAGCAGGACTCGAAGGTCCTTGTCAATGGATCAACGCCGAGCTGAGGATATCGCTACGGCAGGATTGGATCGAGTACAGCGTGCGCGCATCGAGCGCCTAAAGGAGCGCCTTTACCGAGTGAGAAGCCGGTCCCCAACCCCGGCCCATCTAATCTCCAAAAGGGTAAAGGGCCCGACCCTCGCAACTGGGGGGATGTCGTTCGAAATGTCTCGGATATATTTGAGTTAGA